GGTATTGTGTATGAATAAGAGCATGGTATAACTTTCTAAACAAATAATACTCTACAAGGAGCTATAGATATATAGAGATATATAACTACATATATAATTCAACTAATGTGGAAGGCATCTCTGTTTTTATTGTGTTGTTGAATTGAGTCTCTGAGGAGTCTCTTCTATACCTACAGGACAGGAGAACAGCATGGTGGGTGGTAAACTTACTTGTGTAGAGTTACTTGGCTATGCACCCAGGCAGAGCTGGTTAGAAACTGGGAGATAAACCTGAGTTAGATTTGCAGCATGAAAAAAGGGAAAAAGTTGAAGCATGAAGGCCTTCCTTCTACCAACACATTCAGTGACAGGAAGTGTCATCTGTCTTGCCCTAAGACACACCTTAGGTGGCTGATCAGCTCCTCTGGATTAAGAGGGTGAGGAGACATCCTTAAAATAATTTTTTTGTCTAATCTCAATTTCTCCAAATCAAACAATTTTCCATGAAAATCCTGGATTTTCAGTTGTGCAGTGGAAAATATTTTTTCCTTTGGATAGCAGACACTTCCTTTGTAATACTTCACCAAAAATATAATTTGCCTTTTGCAGATACCAACTATTTCACTTTTTTTTTTTTTTTGAGCCATCCTCTTATCAGTTCATTCTCATCAGAGTTTTGTGATGTATGAAAGTTGTGCTGACTGGAGTACTTTTTCTGGTTCATTCTATCCAAAATCCAGTCTGCTAATTGATAGGAATGAGGAAAAGCATGATTTTTCCCATTTTATAGTCCTTGTACACAATCTGTAAGCAGTTTTTGCTTATTCCCATGTTTAATCTTTTGTGTAGCAATTAAATACCTGCTAACAAAATAAGTTTATGGGTTAATCCACTCTGCAGAAAGCACAGGAAAGCACAATATAGCTGGTTTCTCAACTAATGGTAAAACAACTAGCACCAAAATCAGGTGTAGAGGTAGGAGTCATTCACAGCTACAAAAATCACAGTAAAACATCCCTGGGCAAATAGTGTCTGTCTTACTGCTTTCCATGTATTTTCATCTTCTTCCTTCTTATTCAGCACTGGAGTCAGCTGTTGAAATAAGGTCTCAGAGAGCAGAAGCACAATTATGGAGAAGCCATAATTGTTAAAAAAAAGAAATCAGAAGAAAATTACAAATTAAAGTAGAATGATTGTCTAGTTCACACTGGCTTCCATTTTCTAATCATCCTAAATTATTTTAATGCATGTTTTCAAGCTCAAAATTAGCAAAGGTCCCATGATGTAATTCTCCTAACACTCATTGAATATTACATTATACCAGTCCAAATTCATTCCAGTCTTTTGCAACATCATCTCTCACTCAGGGCACATATATCATGGTTTAGGGACCTTCTACCTGCTCTGTTTCTAGATAGTGCTTTTAATACATGAAGTTTAGGAATCATTGCGAAGTTAAAACCAGTTTCTTACTTGTAAAGGCCTAGATAAAAAAAATATAAGATTAAAAAAAAATAACTCTTAAAACATGTTTGTCTTTGAAATACCTTAAATTAATAATCAAAAGCTTGCATCAAGTCTAAAACAAATCAAACTCAGTCATGAAGATGAGAAACAGGAATTATTAACTGAGTAGTGAGGATGATGGAGACTCAATGAGATCATTTTGTTCAAAGATTAAAGGCGATGAACACTGAAATAGTTGAGGAGGATGGCTATGAACACATCTGACTAGAGCTGCTAAATTCAGTAATGATCAAAAGTTAATTATCAAAGCACAGAGAACTACTCAACACAGACAATTTGAGTCAATAGCTAAGCAGCCCAGAAAAGAAGTAATTTGGAAGAAGTATTTTCCTATAATGAAGTTATATAAAAGACGTACATTTCAAAGAAACCTGCCTAAAACAAGATTGCATTCTTCCTGATCAGAGAAAAATAATTAGCTCTAATTGACAGACCTGCTGCACACCAAATATTTTCAAACAATATGTTTCTGCATCAAAGCTTAATGTGTAGAGTTGCTCAATGTCACTTTGATTTTGCCTTCCTTTATCTTCTGCCACTGGGCATGCTCGTGATATCACAACAAATATGCTTTGAAAAATGAATGAACAACACCTACAAGACAAATAAAAGCAGAAGGACAGATCCTGGATTTCTTTCTCAGATGGAATCCCTGATGTGTTCTGTGCTGTGTTTAACATCACCGTGATCCCACTCGGAGGCAAAGTGAATCATTTGTAATAGGAAATGACCAGTTACCTAATGATCCAACATTAAACTAGGCTGGCATGTAGATTAACCTGAGCATTTGCAATGTTTTTTTACTTTTGTGTAGGCAACCATGTGCGTGGAGGACACCCTCTTCTTCAAGCATGTGCCTTTTCTTAAGAGTTAGGAAAGTGTCTTTTCCTCATAACAAAGGAAAGAAAATGTGGAAATTCTCCATTTAAAAATCTAAGGAAAGATACATGCTAGAATGTCCATGGTCCAAGAAAATACAATATATCTGTAATTTTTTACTTTCTAAAGCTGCTCCATTTCTTTCAGCATAAACAGAAGCCATCGATGTAGCTAAGTGGTCAAAAATCAAACATCCACTTTAGACTCTGCTCTTTAATATTCTATGACTTTGACATTGGCAGTTCCCACTCCCTGAAATATCTTCATCTTCTTTAATCTTTCATGTAAACAGTTTAGTTCACACCATCACGCACATGCTCTCCAGAATATCTTCTGCTGTATTTTGTATTAAACCGACTGCATTATCATTATTTACTTGTGATCCTAGACACTCTCCACTCCTCTGTTTTCTCTTCTTCCGCTCTATTTTGATACCAGGTTTTGTGTAGTGGTTTTTGAATAATTCGGGGGGGGGAAATTGATTTAGATGCAAGTTTCACATGCTTGAACTCAGAATTGTTATAGTCCAGCTATTTGGTATATAGTCAAGCAAAATACCACCGTAAAGTCAAAAAGAACTTCTGACGTTGTGGAAGGATGTTTATGAGCTTTAAAAATAATTTTAGTTTCCTGCAGGATGGGACTGCAACTTGGCATTTAGTGGGAGGCTTGGGAAACTGAAATGCCACTTTTGATGTGTTTTAATCCATTTAAAATGAAGCATTTGTGTGTCATTACGTGTAGTTTATGACTTAGGAAGTTTCTTAATAGCATGCTTCTGACTCTGCATTTGCGATTGGCCACTGAAAAAGGGAGATTTGGGAGAGAATCATTGGAAGGAGGCAAAATTCACATATCTCACTATTGAGGCAGGGACCTCATTTCATCATAGGCTTGTTTGAGACAGCATAATTAGGTTTGGGTCTGGAGCAGTTGTGCAATCTGAAGTTTAGCATTTCCTGAGGTTGAAGTGTTTTATTTAGCACTCCTACTGTACAATTGATATAATTGATTCCTATCATGCATTCATTGATTTATTCTTTAGATGGAAAATATAATCCAAATGAAACAAACACATTTTTCTTAGCATGCTGGGAGTCAGCCTGGAGGGTTGCTGTTGCCCCATCCAAGCTCTCATAAGCTCTCATTCTTTCTCCCAAATTCTAAGCTCATTAACAGGGATTTCCATGGATTTAAACGTGGATTTTGCCTTTGCTGTCCTTGGAGACCAAAGTGCCAAAACAGCAGGTATTTTCAAAAACTAGCCCCATCACAGAGCCCAAAGGAAAACTCATTCTGGCAAAATTTGGAACCCAGTTTCAAATGGTCCCTGAGGTTTCAAAAGTTCATCAATTTTCAAAAAGGATTTAATTTGTCAAGGCTTATGTAAGCATTTTTCAGAACCACTAATATTAGCAGTTGCCGTGTAGAAATCATTTTATTTCCATCCCTAAGAATAGCAGAGGTTAACGTTCCTCACCAAAACCCTTCTTTTAATTCTTGGTAAGCTGCATAAAAATATCTCTAAAGGTAATTAGGAACTAGAACTCTCCTTCCTATAATAGGTTTATGGATCAGTTGTCTTAATTCTGCCTTTCACCACTCTCCATGCTTGTAATCTCACTAACCATCTGACTGCTTTCCACGTTTAAATCTGTTACAGTCTGGTTCTGCAAACACTAGGAGGAATTCTCCAAAAGGATAAGACAACACTAGTTTATCTGATGGTGGTATTTCCAGCCCTCTTCCTTTAAAATGTTATTTACCTAGTCTGAACAAAACCAGAGTGGGATGCAAGGTCGGTTCAGATTATATAATTATGTCACAGAAGCATTAAAAGAAAAAGTCTCCAGTAACATCTCGAGCAGCTTAACCAGTGTGATAGACTGGCGCGGCTCTGCCATCGGTGCCCCCAGCTGTGTTGCTTAGCAACATTTTAATTCAAGAAGAATCGAAGGAGATGAAATCCCCGTGGAGAGGGAAACAGAAATAAGAGGGCCGTTGACAGATGATCTGAGTTGTTTCTTCTAATATACTGTGAAGATCACTGGCTCTTTTCATGAATGATAAATGGACTGTACACAGATCAATGGGTTCAGCAATAAACTGGAACCAGGCTCCATGTCTGAGGTGGTGCAGGCCGAGAGGCCCAAAGATTTACTCATTTAGATGATTTGGAGTGTGTTTTCTCAAAGGTTTCACAAGAGGAAATTGATCTGAACATTTGGTCATTCCTTGCCCTTTTCTGTTGCTGGTGAATAAAAACTGTTTTGGAAATGGAGTCCGTTCTTCCCTTTGTTTTTCCTGTTGTTGTTCTTGCTCCAGATAGGGACAGATAGCTTGTGACAACGGGGCCAGACCTCAGAGCTGGAAATGAAGTAATAGCTCTGAACGAGCAGTTCCACTCATGGCCATTAAAAATAAACAAACCACAGTGGTGTCACAGGCTGGGACAGGAGCATTTCAAACCCTGAGCACTGTCTCTCAGAGCAGCCCTCACCCCAGCTGTGGGGTGTGCGCTGCTGAAGAGCTTCCACGGGTTGATGTTTGTGGCTTGGCTGGGCTTTGGTGTGCCACTTAATGTTTTGTTTCCCCCACCCCTCTTCTTTTTGCAGGCTGCTGAAAAGACAAAATTGAGAAACATTCCTGTAAAGTAAGTTATTTTTATATCTGTTTTTAAATGCAAGTTTAATGCCGTTGTTTAATACAGTGACTAAAAAGACTAGGACAATGAGAAGGGTGATGAAGGAGAAAATAGAGTTCATGTTGCCCCTAATCATAGCAATAAAAAAGTCAGTATCATTGAGGAAAGCTTTTGATTTCTCATGTGTCCCTAATGATTACACTCCCCAAGTTTCATCCAGTTTCCATAAATTAATGTGTTGTCTATGAATAGCTGCCAAATGATCACAATCATACTCAATACATAGTGCTCCTAGCCTGGGGGGGGGAGGTGTTGTACATGCTAAAAAGATTATGATTTTTAATTGCAATCCTCTAGAAGGTCTGACGGGGGGAAATCACTAGGAATGTGCCAAATAATTTCTGGACACATGGGAATGATTTTGCACCTATGTATCAAGGCTTTGCCATCCTGTTGATTAAGGGCTCTTTCTCACTCTCTGTGTGCAGCTCTCTCACACCATACACACATGTATGGTTCTGCTCTTTACAGCAGGGCTCTGTGAAGGATGAGCAAGCTACCAGGGAGCAATTTCAAGGGCGTTTTATGAGAAGTTCTTAAATCTTAGGCCACTAGCGGCAATACTCAACCATATATCACTGAATTAAGAAAGTTGCTATATAGATGTCCTGGCTCTTTGAGAAAAGGCATTTTCAGTTAAAGCTACCAGCATCAGTTATTCTGTTTAAGTAATAAATACTCCAGTCCTAATGGGCTCTTACGTACCAATAAAAACACATATTTTTAGCTTCAGTAGGTGATCGTAGCAGTCTAACTAAGTCCAGGTAACTGTATATTCCTGTTACAGACAGAGGAAATGTTGTAATTTCGGTAGTAGTTGGCTAATCATACTGACTTTTGGACTGGAGTGGGTTTGTGTTTGTAAGAACATGCACTGAGAGACTCAGATCACTGTGTTTTAGCACACATAACAGAAGAATGCAGCTCTACTTCTCACTTGGCTTCCATCATGTATAGTCATTTACACCTTATAAAGCGAACACAAAATGTGTGTGAACACTCCTTGGAGTGATTAGGCAATATGTCAGATGACCATAAATCACTCTCTCTTTATGTTTCATTCAGTCTGATAAAAATTAGAAATAGGATCCAACAGAGACCTGATAGCACATGAAACTTGTAATAAGACAAGGGACCTTTGTTGCCTATAGGGCTAGTTCAAATTCAGTGCAAGCTGAATTAAAGTCATTGTTAGCTGGTGGTTGTTTAATAGAGAGTGAAATGAGCTGTGTTCTCACCTCACATTATACAGGATCCAGGAGTTGCAAGGTGATGAAAGTCATGGGGAACAACTCCAAAATAATCATTTATCATTCATTCACTTTTTTATATATTCTGAGTCAAATTCTCAAGAATGACTCAAGTGAATTGAATTTCCCCCTATATAACAAACACATTGAGCGTTGCAGTTTTTGAACAGCATGCATGTGACACTGATGCCCAATTAATCCACCAGAAAGATTTGGGAGTTTGGGGGAAAGGATGATTTAAGTTAAATAATTTTTTACACAACTTGAGTAACTGTAACATTTTGAAACGGAAGAAGGCCAGATGGACAGTCTCGCTCTTTCCACCTACATGTGTGTGTTTCACCCTGTCATGTTTCTCCCAACTGGTTGTTTAACTTCTCTTTGACTATGTTCATGGTGGCAGCTACAATTAGTACCCTAGGGAATCCATTATACATATTAATTACACTCTGTATAACAAAGTAGCTGAAAAATCTGCCTAGTTTTTCCAGTGACATGTAACTATTTACGGTACCTGTATACAATTAGGATTTTATGCTAAAATATTAGCTCTCAGGGCAAAAGAAAAATTGGTGTCTTTAAGATACCAGTAGTAGCCATGGATTGCATTTATATGAGCATCACAGCCACACTTAGTACAGCTCAGACTTGGCTAGCTTTTAGTCACTGCTTTTGTAGCTCTCAAATGTCAAGGAGAATTTCACTTGAATTTTAATGTTCTTCAGTATGCAAAATAAAGTTAGTAGCTTCCATTGTCATAAGGGCTGAAAGCTGTACAGATTCCTTCTACCATATGTGACTTATCACATACATTTTTAAAAACACATTTTTGTTATTAAGACATATGTGATAGTACACTTCTGCAAATGTGAATTGCTTTTGGCTAAAAGCCATGCACTAATAAGTAGAGTTGAATCTAACTGCACTTGACATCTGCTACAATATATATTTTTTTTACATATATAAATATATACATATAAAATATTCGCAGTTGTCATTAGCATAAAAAAATGTCCTTGTTTTTACGTTATGCTGACATAGTTCTTGTGTCCCAAAACTGGAAGCAGAAATTACTCCCTTTTAAGTACTATAGTTTATATAAAGTCCTTGGACACAACCTAATAGTGCCACCATTTACACAGTAGTTCAGAAGCATGATAAAGATTTCTGTAGAAATGGTCTTTTTACTTTTCATTGCTCAGTTTATTAATGTTGCTGGTATAATGTTTGGTAGGAAGCTTACTGTTCTTTTATGTTCTCTTCAATCCCTCCAGCACTAACCACTTATGAAGGGAAAAAACCAAGGAAGTTTTCTTTTTACAGTTCAGTAAAGCAGCCAAGCAGCTGGTTTCTTAATGTCCAAGTGTCTGTTGGTGCTTAGACTAACTGGTGTGAACTTCCTGATGGCCAAAGTAGGTGCAGGTGGCACTTGGCTCCTTCAGAAGGCTTGGTCTCAATTCCATGTTGCTTAGAGCACTGCAAGGCACAAGACATCCATAGCACTCATCTTTATGTATTGGTAGCATCATCTGACATAATATTACTATAAATAAGCACACAGTAAATAGCTGAGAAGTCTCTATGTCTGCAGAACTGATTTCTTTTGGTGGAAATAGTGCAGTTAATTTTTTCAAAAGACCCTCTTCTGTCTTTATGTGGCACCAAGGTAGCCCCCATAACTGCAGGATCCATTATATTTACCTTATATACGCTCTTCTGCCCTTGTTATGTAAGGAGCACTTGCTTTCTCCTGTGGTTTTATCCATATGTACATTGAGAGTCTGTGGCAGAAAAAGAATTTCCTGTATGTAAAGCCCTAGATGCTTTCTTACTTACTTGCTGGTCCTTATCATGCTGTTCCTATCCCTGAGTCTGAAAGAGGTAACATGACTTAAACAATTTCACTCTGTGGAGGGTTTATAATTTCTAAAGAATTGTTGCATGAGAAATGGTTTTGAATTGGGATGCGTTCAGAGGAATTAATCTCTTATATGCCCTGTGATTTGATGGAAGAGGGGGAGAACAGTGATATCATTAAAAACCTGTAGTAGCTTTGTTCTGGAACCCAACTGATGATCACTCTTCCCAGATTTTTTCCAGACTTGTGTAGACAATGGGAGCCCACATCAGCATAAAGCCTAGAGGAATCATGTTTGTGTTGACTTGGACCCCATCACTTGTCTTTTACCAGTGGGTTGAGCTGCAGGATCCTCTCATATGTAGGTCCAGTCAGGGTTAGTCCACAGTCTCAAGTAAAAATACACTTGGCTTGGCAGTCTCTACATAAACGTGGACTGAGGGCCAACCAAATTGTATGGTATTGAGCATCATAGTGTGTGAAAAAATACTGCCTTTTTTTGTTTTAAACCCTTTTCCTCATATATTCACTGGAATCTGCCCAAGAAGTTTTTGTTGCGCAGAAAAGCAAATGATTAGTCACTGTTCTTCATTCCTCATATTACATCCCTCTGTTGTATAAACCAAGGATTCTTCCTGCTCAAAAGCCACTAATAGTGCTGATTTCCCTCCAACTGTGTGAGCCCACCAGTGAGCTAATACAGACACAAGGCAAGTCCCTCTGCAGTTGGGAAATGTCTACTAGTTGGGTAGAGACAGTGGTTAGGAAGATAAACAGGTTCTTTTCAGATTTTCCTTATAAAGAGATGAGTTGTTTGCATAGCAATGCCCTTCTGACTAAGGGCTGGATATAATGTCATGCTAAACAAATGTCTCAGATTACAGTCCTTTATGAAAATGGCCAGATGGATTTCTTGGGAAAATGTGGACAGGTGAAAGAATGATTTGGCTAAAACTGATGTCATCCAACACCTTGAAATAAAAGGGGTTTGTAAGAAACAAAGTAAACTTTTTAAATGGAAAATGAGTGCTTTTAAAGGTGTAGTCATGTAGTCCATGAAATTCTGTAGAACTGTAGGAATATTGGAAGTGACTTCTTGCTTCAGGGAAGAAAACATTGCCTTCCTTGAGTGTCCTTTATACTCCCTTCTTTTATAGTCCCTTTTAAAATCTTCAATAGAAAGTATATGGCATTTCCCCAAACACCTGCATATGCTTAAATTTGCTGTAGTTCTAATGACTTCCAGATACATGTTTTGGGATTACAGCTTGTGTTAAAATCCTGCTGCTTTTTTATATTTTCAAAATATATTTGTTTTCCATCAGCCACAAGTTTGTTAACCAGCAAGATTTCTGGTGTTTATTGTCTTTTCCTGCCATAAAATTCATCTTCTCCTCATAAGGGCATCTGACTTGACTTGGTATGGTTTTCTGTCCCAACCATCATTGGAAATGCAATCCATTAACATTTGATATCTTGACATTTCAATTGACCTCTCATTTGCAAAGCGCAGTGGTATTTTTCGTGGCCTTTTCATCCTTGATTATACATGGAATAGGAGTGCCTGTTTCTACTGACTGCACTTTAGAAATGTCTTTGTTTTACCAGCTGGAGTGGCACCTTGTTTTTGCCTCCCTGGATAGACCTTATTCTGCATGGAAGGTCTGAGGTCTAAGCAAGTCATGCAGAGCCAAAGGATTTTCTTATTGACTCACTAAGCGGGAGGGCGAGCAGGTCAGACTCCGAGGGTCAGTTAATGTATGCTGTAATAGCAGTAACCATAAACAGATCTTTTGCTCCCACTGGCAAAAATGCAGGCCAGTGGGACAGGTCTGGAAGTT